TTTTTTATAAATCGTGGAAGTGTTTATTTAGTGTAGTAGTGTCACCTTGAACAAATGATAACCAGTTTGACGGGCAATGCGCTTTTTATACCTAGCGAGACCCATCCTCGTTATCCAAGGAAGTACATTATGAATTGTCGGTACTTCCTTAGATAAGACAGCCGGAATAGATTGTCACTGGGGAAGATCTCAAAACCAGATTGTTTTTTTTTTAAAAGAAATCTCAGTTGAAAGCTTTTTTGCACTGTCAGCTTTAATTACGTAAAAAACTTCTCAATATCAGATTGTTTAAAATGAGGATGATTTTCAGTAATTATTTAAAAAATTATCATAAAGATAACTTTATTTTTATTATGTGATATCCTAGAAATCTGTTTTGTATCAGTTGATTAAAACTGATTTCCTGAAAAAATATAGTGTGCTTCCTTGTTATCTATAGTAAGTTTCTTAACTGAGTGCCCTTTCTGTGTTTGGTAATTATAAAGGTGCCAAAAATGAGTCAAGCGTTTCCGGTCTAGTGTACCACTGAACTTAGATGGTGCAATGAAAAAGATAATTAATCTATTTCACCAAAACCAATTAATACCACTTAGCGCCCTTAGCAAATCACAAAGTGGACAGTATCGGTGACTGGGATTCATCACGCGATGAGGCTACGTACAAGTATGATAAAAGACGAAATGTTGTAGCACTTATACTTACATGTATTGAGCACAGATGAACACAATTTCGTGTAGTTTTGCCACTCAATCTCATTGAGGCGTTGTCTCTAAAAAGAGTCTGACAGCGGTCAGAAACGTATACTTTAAAGCCATATATATATGCAGTTGTGGGAACGCACAACGTTACACGATGTGCGGTGTGCGCTCGATGTGGGAACGATTACTATCTGGACGGTTTTTGCTTGCGCACATTTGTGCGGACGTTGGACGAACGTTGTGCGATGACAATCGTAGTTGGTGTAAATTGAGAAATGGCTTAACAATAAATACGGCCTCGTGTTTAAACATATAAACTTGATTTTTTAGTATACTTATACTTGTTAGNTGGTTCAACAGTCTGGACCACGGCGAAGACAAGGTCAAGAAGATACAAAGATAACTAGGAATGTCTACCTGTAAACACATGAACGTTTAAACTGAAAGGGACCTGCAGCATTACAGGTATGTTTATTATTTGTTACTGTTGTTGGTGGAGGTGTTGATATCGTACTTCTTACATGATACAATATATCCATGTCTCACATTAGCAAAAATATATTTTATAGACACAAACAATGTTATAACTTACATATATTGGTCATATATTGTGACTGGGTGGTATACAAATCAAAGATAGATCAGGCCGGCAGGTGCAAAGATAAAACAGATTGTACTCAAGAATAGCTAAAAGGAAACGTTCAAAAGATTTGCACTTAATTACATAATGAAAAGTGATTAACAACAGCGTACTAAACCATACCATTCGTTTCATTGAAACCTTGTTAATTCGTTCATGAATTTTCAATGCACAATATTAATGAAAAATATGTAGCTATATCATTACTACGTGGTAAGTAGGTAACCGTTTAATATCAAGTTTTCACTAAAACGTGAAACTTTCGTTTCCAGCGTGGGTCACAGTTAAAGATAACACACAATATCAACCTGGCGTACAAAAGGCAAGATTTCGGACATTTTACAACATGCAAATCAGGGATACGTGTATACAAAGAAACTTTTGCTAAAATAAGCGTAGCATCTCTTTGTCGTTTCTCTGTCTTTACAGACTCGTGTCTTGCAAATTCATCCCATAGTTCACAAGCCTATTTAAAATTGGTCTGATATATATTTTATAAATTATTAAAGTATCTTTACTCAGTAAGTTTTTTTTTTTTCAAAAAGATGTCTCAGTTTTCGTTCACGATGTTACAGGTAATTTCAAAAACAAAACTTTTTATATAAAATACGAATAATTTCAAATGTGAGTATTGTCTTATTGAAATATATATGTGTTAAGACTTTCTCCAAACTCAGATTCACAGCGCAATAAATTTGTGCACACACTAACGAACCAATTTAAGGTATCTAAAGCAGGATTTTAGCTTTAAATAATCTCAATACAAGTGCTTATTTGCGATTCCGAAATGTTACCCTCTTAATAATTATCAGTCCATTTTTAATCGTAGAAGATATAAAGGACCTCTCATATACCGTTGAATGAGGTTACTGACTAGGCGGATGCAGCATGTGTCACAAATAAAAGATAACATGCAATGTCAAACTAGAGTACAAAAGGTAGGGACAAGGCAAAGGCAAGTTCAGGTAGATACAAAGTAACTATGTCTCTATATCTGTAAGCATGTGAAAGCTTTAACTTGAAGAGAGGGGGAAACTACATCAGTAAAGGTTTGTTTTTAATTAATGATGTTGGTGTTCATGTTCATAATGTATTATTTATGTGCGAAATATTTTCATTTCTCACATATACATAATTATATTCTATTGATAACAACATTGCTATAACTTACGTATATTGGCCATATATTGTGACTTGGTGGTATACAAGTCCAAAATACATCTGGGCAGGTACAAAGATAAAGCATGATAGCACAGTTACTGCTGCAATTCGGTCATCATACAATATGATATTTAATTTGTAAGCTTACTAGTGAAATTACCTGCATTAGTTTGCACTTGAGGATAACGAACAGGAAAAGTTCTGAAGATTGTCACTTATTTACATATGCGATGTTATTAACAACAGCGTAATAAAAAATAACATATTTTGTATGCACACCTTGACAACCCGTTCATTGATTCTGAACGCACATCATTTAATGAAAATATGTAGCTGTATCATTACTACAGGGTAAGTTGAAAATTATTAAATACACAAATGTTCATTAAAACGTTCATTTAAACGTGAAACGTTCAGTATAAATAATTTCCTTCAAAATTTCTGATGATTTAATTACTTACTTTTTAATTTCGTTACAGAATTCATGCTGTGACATCACAGTAAGGATTATAGACTAAAGGTGATCCCTGTATCAAGAAAGGTCAGTAACATTCACTTGCCGGGATGTCTCCCATCGACTAGGTATTAACATACATAAATAATGCTAATTGGTTGATGTCGTACCTTATAAATTACTAGCTGAAATGGCAGAAAAGGCGATTTCTTTCAATAAAGGACAGATAGCGGTTCGCGGCCAGGATCCAACTAAATGTGTACACCACAAAGTCGAGACTTTGGATTGGTTTTGTGAGACATGTGATGACGTCATATGTGCCAAATGTGTGTCCACTTCACACAAAGGTCATGACAATATCCTGCTTAGCGAAGTTACTCCCGACAACAAACGTAAGATAAAATCATTCATAAATGAAACGGAGCAAAAAGAGCTGATTGAAATTCAACTGAAAATCAGTTTAACACAGCACAGTCTGGACAAACACTTGAACCATTTCGAAAGTGTATCGGAAGAAGTAAAAAAGCAAGGGGAGAAACTTAAGGAGGATATTGATGTTTTGATAGCGGAAACACTAGCTCAGGTGAAACATTTAGAAGAAGAAAATACTAAACTGCTCACCAGTTACAAGAATGAACTCGAGAAAAAACTTGCAGACCTAAAGGAACAACTGAAACATTGTAAGGAAACTCTTCAGACAGGCACAGATATCCAGGTGTTTGACCTTTCAAAGAGACTTCAGACAAACATCATCTTACCTGAAAAACCAAAGTTAGGTTCTGGCGACTTCACCCCAAACAACAGAAGGAGTACAATCCTGAAGGAGGCATTTGGAAAACTTTCCCTGAGACCATCGGAACAGTCACAGTCCTCTACCGTCCCTGACCAGTCAGATGAAACATCCGTTGATGATACCCCGCTACCTTTCGGACATCAGCAATCAGTTAAAGGGAGCACAGACACAGGTCAAGACCCGGAGAAGGTCCATCTACCACAGATTAAGATTCTATCAGAATGGGAATCTCCATGTCAAATATATGCTATGTGTCCCAAAAGTGGTGGTGGCGTGTGGACAAGTAATTGTTCCAAAGTGACCCTCCTAAACAGTCAAGGAGAGATACAGCAGGGGATACAGAATCCTGTCTTCATCGAAGATATCACTTTATCCCCTACTACACACAACCTCTGGGTATGTTCTTCTACTGATAACAGTGTCATGGAGCTGACATCAGGTAAAATGACTCGCAGATTCAAAACAAAGGATGAACCCCGATGTCTGTGTATTACAAGAGATGGATATATTCTTGTGGGAACAAAACACAGAATTACCGATTACACTCCAGAAGGGAAGCCCGGTATCGCCACCAAAACATATTTGTTCAAGAAACCGAAGGTACGTTCACCACGGAGTATATCACAATGTCCAATCAATGACAATGTCGCTGTCGTTGATGTAGATGATGAAGAAGATGGTGGTAAGGGCGAACCAGCTGTCATAGTGCTGGACAGACAACTACAGCAGTTATACAGGTATGGAGAATCCCAACATTACAGCGGGTCTATGTGTCTAACTTTACACCCCTTGGATGTAACGTATGACAGTCTAGGATTCCTGGTAATAGCTGACTTTGCCAACAACAGCCTACATCTGCTGAGTGATAATGGACAATACCTGCGACTGCTGCATACTGACATAGAACGTCCCCGGGCTGTATGCATAGACACGGAGGGAGTTCTGTGGGCGGCGTTTGGTTTATATAACACTGATCAAAAGGTGAAACGTCTACAGTACACGAGTGTTTAAATCAGACTTTAATTGTTATTACATTTACGTGAATTACAGTAGTCAAATATTACCAATTCATTTGACACATTACACAAGTGTCACATCAAAAAATTAGTTTCTATATATTGGTAAGAATGAGTAAATTTTTCCTGCAAATACTGTCTTTAATGATGTTATGATTAACATTATAATTATCCAAAGAAATCGAACAAAAATGGTTTTGTAAATATATTTAAGAAAAGAAAAATAATAACAATCTAGTACCTTACCTTTTCGTGTTTGAGATATATAAGTACATGTATATACATATATTCGTAATAATAATACCAATTATTTAACTCCTTAATATCCACAATATAAATCCAGACTAACGAGATGATTTTTTGGTTTTTGAATTATCTATCATGAGTTCTGTTATCAGTGAGAAAGATTGAATTTCAACCTTTATACGTAACAAACTTCTCAATATTTTATTGTTGAAAATGAGGATATTTTTCAGTAATCATTTAAAAATTCATTATACAAATGACTTTATTTTCATCGTCTGATATTTTAAAAATCTGTTTTGTATCAATAGGTTAAAACTGATTTCCTTAGAAATAGAATGTGGTTCCTTGTTGACTATAGTAAGTTTGTTAACTGAGTGCCATTTCTGTATGTGGTCATTATAAGAGTGTCAAAATTCAGTCAAGCGTTTCCGGTCTAGTGTACTACTGAACTTACATGTAAATGGTTGAATGAAAAAGATAAATAACCTATTCCAAATGACTAGTTAGATGTAGTACCACTTAGCGTCCTTAGCAAGTTACACAGTGGACAGTATCAGAGACTGGGATTTACCTGGTGATGAGGTTACCTACATGTATGATAAAAGATGAAATGTTGTAGCTCTTACACTTACATGTACTGAGCACAGATGAACCAAAAATCGTGTAGTTTTGCCTCTCAACCTAACTGTGGCGTTGTCTAACAAAAGTCTGACAGCGGTCAGAGACGTTTACTTTAAAGCCAAATATAAACGTCTCTGCACCGGTGTAATATTTTACTTGCGTGAATTATTCTTTTTACATAGACTTTTTACATTACGTCTGACTGCCATATACATGTACAACTCTCATCGGCGTACTGTGATACAATTGCATTTTAGTCTAGTTCTGACGTGATGTCATTGATCAAGATATGGGATAAAGGATGATACAGACATTGCTCTCCTGTGTGTGGGGCACCATTCCCATCACCAGTTTTACGAAAAGATCCTTACTTATGGAGACTCCTTAACTTAAAAGTTGTGATTGAAATATTTCAAATTTTTGATCCACCAATATCGTTATAAATTACTTGACATTTCTGTTAGTTTCACACTCATCCCATTATCCAAGCGAAATGGCCAAAAATAACACATTCTTAAGAGCTTCCTCGTAGCTTACTGACGTTTCCTCCTATGCATTGTGGGTATATTCGTTTCGTTTAAGATGTTTTATATGCTTTCGCTTTTTATGTAAACTTGTTTTTGTCACCACAAACGAGTCGATCGTTTGTAAGCATCATCCGTAGCACTTGCGTACCGTTTTCGTAGCACCTGCGTACCATTTCCGTACCGTTTGCTTAGCACTTGCGTACCGTTTCCGTATCACTTGCGTAGCACTTCCGTACCGTTTGCATACAAGGTGGAACAGCGAACGTATACGGGTCTGTAACAGTATTTTTGCTTAATCATTCTTGATTTATAATCATCAACTGCATTAACAAACATGGCGTTCGTATTAGTAATATCGTGAAATGCTGCCTTATTTTTAAGATAGCCCGACCTCGTGGTTAAAAATGTGTAAAACAATGTTACTTCAAATTCTATGAAAAAATTGTTACAGATCAACAATTAAGTGTTATCGGTCAAACCAATGAATTGTTAGGCTTGTTCTCAGTTCCCCCACTGTTTGAAATAACATGGGAAGAAGAATGTTGTAAGAAGGATTATAGTCTGTTTCTGAGAAGTATTGGCAGTTTTTACCTGTATTTACCAGTGTTTTTACACAATTGAAGGGGAGCTATAGGCAAACCGAATGCAAATAACAAATACTACACGTCCAGCTGTGTTTTCATTACGGTCATACGGTATCGCATATCAGCTCTATGTGTCAGGTACAGGCAAGGTCAAACCCCGATAACTCATCAAATTGTTATTTACATATTCTGTTACTTTGGCGCGAAACACATTCTTGACAGTCTAACGGTCACTGTAATGCTGTTTTACACGCATTGTAAAACTGTACATAATCTTCATTACTGTGATGAGAAATTACAATAATACATACAGTTTTCATTATTGCATACGAACTTTCCGTATTTTTTTCATTCCGTAATATTGATCTACAAATTGTACCCAATCGCACAGTTGTGCGGAGAAAAGCGCACAACGGGGCGAACGATTGTTAAATCGCAGTTGTGCGCACCATGTGTGGACGATGTGCGGACGGTGTGTGAACGATGTATGCACGGTGTGCGCAAGCTATTTTGGTGCGTTGTGCGGTCACACAACTGTATTAATGCTGTGTTTCATAAATAAATATTTGAAGTCCTATTAGGTCTTAATATTTTCTTTCTTTATGATACAAGTATATTATTATGTCAGGAAGGGGATACTCATCGCTACTGGTACAATGAAGAACTTTTAGGGTCTNGAGAAGTGCTACACCAACCAAACGTGGACCGTACATATATCTTAGGCATTACATCTCAACCCATGCGTCAAATGCTAGATGCGTCATACCTTTCATGGTCCATTGACTTTGTCAGCATCTCCATCAACATTAGATTTTTGCGTTTAAGTTAGTTTCTCTGATATGTGCATTGATTGTCAAACATTAATATTGATCACAAGTTTAGCTGGTGCTTCCTCTACATAACCCTTACTTCAATCTAAATCTTGTACTTGATTAGTCACATTCATATTCATTAACGTTTACCTTTAAAAGNATATGGACTATACATAATACAATCAGACATTTAACGAATGGGTATGGATTATGCATTACAGAATCTGTCATTTCACAAATCAGTTTTTATAATACACTACAAAATCTGTCATGTAACAAATGGGGATGGAGTATACACTACACAATCCGACATAGTAA